GCACAAAGGTTCTGGTACTGCTTTTACAAAGTAATAACAATGAAAATAGCATTAGAAAAGCAATGATTTTAGAAAGTAATAACAGAAAAAAACAGCGATAAACATTTATAATGCCATTCACAAATATTACTGGATCATTTAGTCCCATTTTTCATGCATGTTTTCGAGTAGAAACAATCCGATTTATCTGAAATAGCAGTTTCCATATTATAAAACAAGTGATAGACAATAATAACTATTCCCACTAGAAGTAGTAACAATTCTTTCTATATAGTGACAGTCTCCAAATTCTCTCAGATATTTGCAGAAGTGTGTGCTATTTTGACTTTTTCACTGGTTTTCATCATTAGGCAAGAGAACAGGGATTTTCAGCTTCTCTTAAGCTGGATTGACATATTTTAACTTGGTTACACTTGTCTTTTGGGTAATTCTATAAGAATGATTAAGAATTACAGATGTTGCCAAGAATTCTAGTGTGTAGTCTAAGCACGCATTACAAATTCTGTGTGGTATGGGGATCTTCCTGAGGATCTCACCTTAAAGCTTATTCTATTAAAGAGGGGGAGGGGGAAGAAAATCACACATTAAAGTTCTTTTTCTCTGATAACAAATCATCAAAACAAGCCCAGCACTTTATGTTTCTTTTACTTGGGTATGCAGATGAAATTAGGGCTGCTACTGAAGTCAACAAAAGATGTCTTTGTGAATTTAAAACAAATCAAACCCACACGGAAGTTCCCAGCAATCCCCATACCTGTTATGTCTGTCGTCTTGTCACTTGCCAAACCATTCTTCAGCTGACTTTGGTTCTGACAGATCACTCACCAGATGATTTAAAGATTTGGGATAACACTCATTTGTAGACAATCCCAGAACCTAACTTCTCTCCACGTCAGTCACATAACTAAAAAAAGCCCCAGAAAATTTATGTCAGGTCACAATTTTCAATGTGCTTTTCATATTAAAAGTTCAGCAAACGTGTTGCATTGCTGATGTCACCTATATAAGCCTCTCTAAGATTGTGGCATTTTCCTTATTGAAAGTGTGTGTATTTTTCCAAAGCCTCTTGAAAGTTGCATAAACTCCAAAGAGTTATGCACATATTGTTGGTATTCCCTTCTATACCTTCGCAATGTTACCATATTCTTCGTGGGAATTAGACACGCTGTAGCATTAATGTCCCACAGCTGCAGAGTTCCCGACTCTTATCTGATTGTTTTTTTCGATTTTGGTTTTGGGGTTTTTTTAGCAGCACAAAGTTTGTGCCTGAAATTTGAAAGTCTCTACTTTTCCCTGGCTGAACTTTCGCGTCTTCTGAAAGTAAAACCAGGACATTTGTGCCGCGTTCGGTCCCTCACCCAAACACTGATCAAATGCTCCTCGGCGTCCCCTCAGGCGTTTCCCGCCCTTTTCGCCCGCCGCGCGCTTGCCGCCTCAGCGTGAGGGGGACGAGGAGGGTGAGGAGGAAGGAGCGAGGAGGAAACCTCCCCGGTGGGAGCCGCGTAGCTGGCGGCGCTGCGAGGGGCGCTGCTGGCGCTGCAGCCGGCCCGGGGGGCCGGGAGGAAGGCGAAGGAAGGTTGGCCAGCCCCTCAGGGGCGCCCAGGCCGGGAGCAGCGGAGTGTGGCGGAGGATGAGGAGCCCTGAGGAGGCCGCAGCCATGTCGGCCGCACCCCACAGGTGGAAGCGGGGTCGCAACCGCGGGACGAGGGGAAGGGCCAGGACAAGCAGCCGAAGCCGGTGAGCAGTGGACGGGAGATGCTGAGGGACGGGCGGAGCTGAGGGGTGGGCGGACAATGGCGTGTTTTTATCCAGGGTATAATGTAATAAGAATAATATTTTAGAAAGGGCAAGCCATTAAAACTCAGCATGTACATTGTCTGTGGAAGCACCTGAGCCACATTGCTTTTGGAAACATTTAACTTGTCAGAATCCTTGCCAGGACCATAGCAGAGCATGAAGCCTCACCAAGTTGACACATCCAAAGCTTTTCCCAGCTTTATAAAGGAATTTTCCCGCTGTCAGTAGGCTGGTGAGAGTGCTGTTATTTTGGCATGCTTTTTAAATGCTATTTCAGATCTTGGTTTGTTTACTCCTTCCGCTCTGCATAGGCGATTTTTTTACTATAAAATCTGCCATTGAACATGACAGAAGTCACCAATATGCAAGCTGCAAGCGATTCCCTGAGTTTTCCCCTCAGAAAACACGGGGGTGCGGGGAATAACTATGAGGGGCAGCAGCGATGCTTGTCCGTGGAGCTCTGTGCCTACCCACCCCAAATTGCGACGGGAACAGCAGCTCACGGGAGCCAAAGGCTGCAGCCAAGCCCGTGTTTGGGGCATCTTTTGCGCGGCTCCTGCTGTACCCTGAGGCTCCAAATCCCTGTCACGCAGATTCCTCAGCTCCAGCCGTCCCCAGCTCCGCCCGCTCTGGCCGCGGTCCCGGTGCCGGCGGTGGCCCCGCCTGCCGTCGCTTGGTTGCGGCGCCGCTTCCGTCGGTGGGGACCGGCCGAAATGGCGGCGGCGGGCGCCACCGCCTTGTCCCTCTCCTCCGCCTCCTCCTCCTCTGCCGCGCTGCTGCGCCCGGGCTGGGTGCCCCTGAGGCGGTGGCGAACCCTCGCTCGCAGCGCCAGCAGCTTCCCCCGCAGCGCCGCCAGGTACCTTGCGCCGATCGGGTCTTTTTCCTCGTCATTCTCCTTCCTCCCTCCTTCTCATCTTCCTCATCCTCGTACCCCTCATGGCGCGGCGGGTCCAAAGGGCGGGAAACGCCTGAGGGATCAGCGGGCTCGGGCCCCCCGCGATCGCCCTTCGGGACGGATGCCCTCCGATCCCCGCAGAGTTCCGCGGTTCTTCCCGGGGAAACGGGGAAGAAGCAGCGGGAGAGCGGGGGCGAACGGGCCGTGGCCCTGGCCTTGGTGATCCATTGGGGATTTAAGCGGTGCCCTTGAAATTGAAGAAACCCCTCGCAATGTGACCTTCCTGCCCCCTGCCTGAGGGAGGTCTGCGAGTTTGCTTGCTCCTGATACCTTAAAGATTTATACAGAATTGCCGTGTATATTTATCATTTGGTGGCAAACAGGGCATGCTTTCTAGCGCTGGGGATCAGTGTCCTGGCAGTAATCACCCCCTGCATTTAATTTATTGTGCTGTCTGCAAATGGATTCTGGTGTTGGTTTTGCAGCACTGCAGCTCTGAGCTCTTGCCTGGGTCTGCATGGGAGGGTCTGTTTGAGCTCCTGCTTATGAACCTTTTCATTTACATGTAATTGTGTTAAGACCTGCCTGAAAGCTGACTAAAGAGGTTCAGCACATCACAAGTACCAATGCTGAGAGCACTGTCTTTGTGATTTCAAGAATGAAAAGATCAGCGAGCTGACCAGCCATTGAGATAAGCATCTTACCCCTTGGATGTTCTGTGTATTGGTATTGATTCTGTCAGTTTTGGGAGAAACAGCTGTATTTCTGGACCAGTGCATATTCTACCTCTGTGCTACGCTGCTAGTAACTGTTTTTTCCAGTTCTGCAAAACGCAGATGTCCCTGCACTAATAATTTTTCCAGAGGTTTTTATGGGGTGTGGGACATTCCTGTTGTGATGCTAGATGTGATCTTGGGCTTTTAGAGTACAAATTGATCCAAAATAGCAGTGCAGATCTTAGTTTATGTCATGGCCTGCAAGTCACCGGGTTCACAAACAAGAAGAATTTTCTGTGGTAAATCCATGATGGGTTCAGAGTAAGAGCATCCCTGGGTGGGTGGGATGACAGTGGGACAGGATGGTGCAGTGACACATATTAAATCTGTCATTTTAACTTGGTCATGAAATCTGTCACAAATCTATCATTAAACCTGTCATTTGCCAACACCTGGTCAATGTTTTAATGTGTGTAAAATTTACAATAATAAATTATTCATGACTTAGCTTCAATGTCTTGAATAGCCTGCTGCAGTGTAAGCTTTCTGTACAGGCAGTGATTTAATTTATTCATGCAGTTCTTGTGTGATATAGCTATCAAAGGACTTATCTAGGTTCTAATCCTAAGAAGCATCAACATATTTCAGTATTTGCTATTTTTATATTTTACAGATGTGAGAAGTGCTATGTACTGACTCCTTTCCCATCAGCTATGAAATATGAGAACTACATCTTTGAGGCTTGGACAGAAAATAGTGTAAATAATGATGCATCAAATCAATTTTTAGGGAAATTTGAGGAGGGAAATGGGTAAAGTAAAACTTAAGGGAGTAAGACCATCCTCATATTTTATTCCAAAATGCAGGAGTTCATGTACATTTACATGGCTGGCTGTGTGTGTTGGGAAATGAGTTGTGGCTGGTGAGCTTCTCTTCCAAGTGCACTGATGGCACATCCACACTCTTCAGGTAAGAGAGTGGATGTGGGCACCCAGTTTGTGGAATTGGGAGTGGGGCTGCTGAGCCTCATCCCCAGTGGGCTCCAGCTGTGAGCAGCAGGTGAACCTTGTTGAAGGGAACAGCCATGGAGTGCCCAGGGGCACTGGCCAATCACCACAGGGAGCAGAGGGCACACAGGTGCAGTGCATGAACGTGAGGGTGTAAAAGGCTGAACAAGAAAGAGCAGAGGTTTGCAGCTTTCTGGAGTTGTGTGCTGTTACTCTGTGTGGGTAAGGGCACGGAGTCCTCTGAAGAGCCATGGTGTCACTGTGTATGGATGAGTGCTGAAAGCCTTCTGAAACTGTATGGTGTTACTTTGTGTATTGTGGCCATCTCAACTGTGACAAGTGGGAAAGCACTTCTTCTCCTGTGTAGGTTTGTAGTGTTTTAGGGTTTTTGAAGTAATAATTGAAGTACCACTACATGAATCAAAACATTTGGGAGTGTTGAAAATAGTAGAGTACACACTTGAAGGTGCCTTCATCCTGATGCAATTTTAGCCCTAAGTACTGTGTACCTTTTTATCTTTGTAGTGATGAAGCAGCTGTTATCTCAGGGACAAGGCTTGCACACCAGGTTTTGAAAGAAGTTCGAAGGGATGTGGAATCGTGGATATCTGCTGGCAACCAGAGGCCTCACCTCACTGTCATATTGGTAGGAGACAATCCAGCCAGTCACATCTATGTCAGGAACAAGATAAAGGCAGCTGCAGCTGTGGGTATGTCATATGAGTCTTCCTTTAGTAAGCTTTAAAGAGAAAAAAAATAAAGCAGGAGGAATCCCCTTAGTGTCTTAATTTAATTTTGCACCAATTTCTTCTACATGTGCTCTGATGCACCTAAGGAATTGCATGGATGTATGGAGAAAGTAGTTTTAATGTGATTTGAATGGGTGCTGCAAGTTTCATTTTGTGTTTGGAAACAGTTCTTAATAATCAGAATGATTTTTGGACTAAATGACTAAGCTGATCACTCTGTGTTCTTATTCTGACATGTCCTCTGTCTTTTGTTTTTATCAGGCATTTCTAGTGAGATCATACTGAGGCCTAAAGACATTTCACAGGAAGAGCTCTTGGATATGACAGCAAAACTCAACAAGGATTCCAGAGTTAGTGGCTTATTAGTTCAGCTGCCTCTCCCAGGTGTGTGGCATCTTTGTCCCACTTCTCATATTACATGGTCCATATAAGAGGAAAGAGTTAAATAGTTTTGGGTTGCAAGTGTACCTTAGGGCCATAAGAAAGTCTTGAAAGAGGATCTGCATAAGGAAGGGTTGGGTGAGGTGTTTTTTGTTGAATATGCAGTTCATTTTAAATGAAATAATTTCATATGTAAGAGTTGCCTTTTTTAGTGATCTGTCACAGTGGTGTTTCAAGGCATTTCACTTAATTTATCCGGTTTAATCTTCTTTATTTTTTTGTAGTTGTTGCACTGGTTTGCCTTGAATTTTATGCTTTCATTCTCTATATCATGCAGCATTATGATATGTAGCAGGTGATGCTCTAGTCTTTCTCATAGTGATTCCAGGTTTTGCCTTAAACATTCAACATTTGTTTTCATTGTTGGCCCTAATGTTCCAGGTGAGCATTGTGGTAAAAAGCCTTGACTAAATTTTTGGGATTTTATTTGCCTTCTCTTAATTTCTAATAAAATCTCACTGAAACATCACTGGGGAGTAGTTGGCCAAGTGGTATTTTTTCAGGGATAAAACTTGCAGAGAAATAAAGAACTAAACTGAAAATGTTTTTTATCTATAAAACAGCCAAACTGAGTGTTATGAAGGAAAAAATGCTTTGGTTGTATTTGTAATAAGCAGCAGTGCTCATGGTGAGGAGGGTTTGCACTTGGCAGTACATGAAAGCTGCCCTAAATGGGCCATGTAGTGAAATAAGTTCACCACAAGGTGGGAGAATAACACCAGTCAGGAGCCACGTCCTGGCCTTCAAGGTAGGAGCTGATGGAATGTGGGCATTTTCCTTTGGAGGAGCATCTCTCCCAGTGACAGGGATTCGCAGCAGCAGGTGATGTAATTAACAGAGTTTAATTGCAGCCATGAGAACTGGAGAAGATGAAGCACCAGCAGCTTGGGGATGGGAATCATCCTGTCTGACACCTGTAGCAAAGGAAGCAGGCTTGTACACTGGACTCCCAGTGTTCCCTAAAAATGAGATGTCTCATGTGTCTTGCTGGTGAGGGTACTCAGGGGAATGGTTAGGTACCACTCACAGAAATGCATTTATGATGAGAATATCAGGTTGCTAAAGTCTGCTTTCATCAGTGCACAGTTCAGAACTTCTTTTAGTCTGGTCTTCAGAACTTCTTTTAAACCTGGTCAACATGAGGAAAGAAAAAAAGCATGATGATAATTCTAGCTGTGTCAGTTGAACTGTTTGATGCTTCTGTGCTGAAGTGCTCAAGTCCTTAAGTAAGGATTAGTCCTAAAATTGTTTGGAGATTCCTCCCAAGAAGTGACACAATGACTACATGAAGACTAATTAGCCTCCCTCCAACCTAGCAGACAGGCATAGCTGTTGCTTGTGGTAGGAAAAGCTTTAGAACAATTTAAGCCATAGCAGAACTTTGTCAATATTGCAGTGTCTGTATAGTAAAGTAAAATGTGCAATTTGCCATGAACTGGAAATATTCAGTAAGCTCTTGCTGCATTAAGTAGTTTTTTTTTTTCTCCTCAAAGGAACTTATTAAACTAAAGGGTTAAAAGCTAAGTTAGCTCTTTTTCCAAATTTTGTCTTTATAGTGACTAAGATGTAATGGAAGGAGAAGTTGTGAAAACTCTGTTAGTGGAGGCTGCTTATTCCAGAACTGAGGTTGTGGTGTGGGGTTTGGGACTTTTTTGCAGTAAACTACATAAGGTGTGGCTTTGATCAACTTTGGGTTAAAAAGGGAATCAGAAATAGCTTTGTTCTGTTGCACTATTGTAAGCTGGGGCAACTTAACTTTGAGGATTGTAATCTTTGCCTCAGGAGAAATTATTTTCTGTGCACTTTTGAGTGCCTTTCTTGTGATAGTTTTCTAGAAATTTTCCTTTTTTATTGGTTTGAATTGCCTGGGAGAGGGCCACAAAATATTAATATATTTGAGACAGAAGATGAAAATCCATGCAGTATTTTTTTCAAATGCCTTTTGTGCTATATTATTATTTTCAATACTCTTCCCTTTTGAAAACCAGCCTTTATTTTCCATGTCTTAGCACCAGAGGCAGTTGTTGTGTAAATAGGAATTTCTCTGTGGGCAAATGCTTGGCCAGTGATGCCCAGTGTAGTCCTGCAAGTTCAGCCAAAAAGGGAGAGGAGGAGTGCAGGGAGTAACTTGGCCAGGGGAGTGGCTTGTAATGACAGCAAGGGAATTTGTATGGGTATCAGCTCATGTTTTATGAGACTGACAGTAAGATAATTAAGAAATTATTTTATTCCTCTGGAAATTAAGAAGGCATGTGGGAGCTTCTTCTCTGGCTCACAGCTTTCTTGTCCCCAGCTGTGCAGCAGCATTTCCTCCCAGTACTGTAAATCCTGTTCTGGAATTCTGCAAATCAATTTTGAGTGTTGAAAATATCCATGTAAAGCATGATTTTTTTTTCCCTTTAATATAATTGTGTCCATTATCTCTCAGGTTTTGGGAAGCTAAAGACAGTGTGGAGGAGGTGTTTTTCAGAGCAGTGTTCTGCACATCCTAGGCACAAAGAAAAGCATGGCTGCCAAGTTTGTGTTGGAAGAACAACTGACTTGCCTAAGGGTAACAAGTTCTTTTGCAAAAGCCATTTAATAGGTTACTCCAAATTTCTTCCTTGGTTTTGTTTTCCTTTTTAATTCCCAAGTTGACATGAAAACAGGGTTATGGTTGCTTTCAGTCTCTGTGAGGCAAGTTTCAGTTCTGAGAGACTCTTTCATCAATGTACTTAATATCTTAATTTCCGCAGTCTTTTCTCATTAGGATTCAAAAGCAAACTTGCTCTCATCATAAAGTGGAGAATTAAACTGTAAATCTTAGCAGCCTGGTTTAACTCTAGGGGTTTTCTAATTGGAAATCTTTTAACAGGAGATTAGCATGGTTTAAGTTCTACAGCATGCTTATCTTTTAATTATCTACCTCCTTTTAATGGAAAACCACAAAAACCTACTAAATTAAAACATCCTGTTTATGTCTTTAAAATATTTTACTGGCAACATCTGAATTTCCTTGTTGATGCTTATTTTCCTTTATTTGGTTTTTTTTAATCCTCCTGTACTGCTCTCTGACTTGGACACTGGGACATTTTGCCACACAGTTGCAGGATCCTGTTCAGGTTGTGGGTCATGTAAGGGATGCAAGAAGCAATTGCTCTGAGATGGAAATGATAAACCCTCAGCCTACTTGTCGGGTTTAGGGGAAAGTACTTTGGTTCACTCTTGCTGGGGAGGAACAACCAAATTCCCAGGAGGTTCAGTAACAAATAGGTCACTAACTCATAGAGGGTCAGTGGCTCTCGCCCCATCTACCTGCTCTGGGGGTCAGCTTGCCTTTCTCCCAAACAAAACCTTTCAGCAGGTCTGGGTTACTGCTAGGCCGTGGGTCAGTCAGTGCCATTATGGGGCTCTCTGTAGCCCGGGGGTCAGTCATTAAGCCCAGTTTGCTTTTTTGGGTTAGTATGGGATGTTTTGGAGCTGTTCCTCTGTGGTGTTATGTATTCCAGGTTTATGCTTGGGTTTGTAACTCTGCAGGGAGAGCTCTGGCAAACACTTTTTTTTTCATAATCAATACTAATGTTTATGCTGTGTAAGCTTTAAGCAGTTACAGAACTGTCTTGTATCAGTGCATATGAAAAATATTTAGTATGAGTACATATGAATACAAAATTTGTGCAGGCAATGCCATTTAAGCCATATTCAGTGTTTTGAGATCACCAATATCAAGCAGTTTGGTTTCTTCTTGGTTTTTTTCATGAAGTACACTATGTTTTGGTCCTACTGATGAACAGTTGACTAAAAAAAGTGTTGTTGGAAAAGGAAAGCTAGACCTTCAAAGTTACTTCAGCTTGAGATTTCCATTAATTTGTTTAAAAATTAGCTCGTGTGTCTTCTGTGGGCTTGGAAACCAGAAAAATGCATGTAACTGCTCTCCTGTGGTTTGTTGGGTATTGTACTCATATAGCTGTTATATATTGCATTCATATTGCTGTTATTATATTTCTAGAGTCCTGTACCTTATGAGCAGTTCTTCTCAGCAGTGTTGTTTGTTCCTTCACAGTCAGGGCTCCTCCAAGACTCTCCCTGACAGCAAAGCCCACCCCCTTTTATCCCAGTTGCCTTCATGAGCCACAGCTGCTGTGGCACAGTCCAGTTAAGGACTTCACAGCTGTAGCTCATTTAGAACAACTAGGATTGGGGCACAGCCATTTACATAATACATATATTTTACAAAGACTCCTACTACAGTTGGACTTCTTGAGTCATTCCATGTTTTAAGAATTCCAGGTTTCAGAAATTACTTCCTTAAATATTTCCTCTAATAGTTACTGTCCTCATTCTCAGCTGCATACTGGGCTCTCATATTTTGACAGGGTCTGTTGTATCAACACTGTAACAAATGGCTTAACCTAATCTTCAGTAAAGTGTTTGTTTGAAAAGGTAAAGCTGCCTTTAGGGGCAGTGTAGCTGGTTCAATGAAGAGCAGTAATTGATCACCCTGGCCAGGTCTGGGCTGTGTGATGATGCACTGATGGCACCTGACAAGGGAAGGAGCTGTAGCTGAGGACTGTGTGTCTCCTAGATCACATAGACGAGCGGACCGTGTGCAATGCCATCGCCCCTGAGAAGGACGTGGATGGGTTCCATATCATGAACATTGGGCGGCTGTGCCTGGATCAGCCTTCCATAATCCCTGCCACTGCTGCTGCTGTCTGGGAGATCATCAAAAGGACAGGTAAGAGACTCTCCTCTCCTGGAACTCTTCTTGTCCTGGGAGGCGAACAAGGGATCAACTCAGGTGTGAGCTAAAAGGTCAGGGTTCTCTAAATGCGTTGGGCTGATTGAAGAATGAACATTTAGAGTATTAATCTGAATAAGGAGCTGCCAAGTAGATGGCCACTTGTGCCATTAGCACAGCTATTATTTAAGTGTAGACAGTAGTATTTGGTGGAACACTTCAGTAACTTTCTGGATTTTGTAGTTTTGCAGGAAATTTTCGGTGCTGTTGTTGTTCTATTTGTCAAATAAAAGATGGGATGCATAAGCTCTTGTAGAGAAGGGAGTGAAACAAGAATAAAAAATGGGAGCACTTAATTCAGTACTGGAAGGGGGGAAAATGCATATGTTTTCAATAGCTGTAATTTTTTATTTACCATGTACGTGTCCTTACTGGTAGACATAAGTACTTCCTGTTGTGGCTGGACTGAGGAAATTAAGTCTTTGCTAAGGGTGATTCAGGTACCCTGAATGAGCTGTTAGTTTTCTTTCTCTGAGGTGAAAGCTGAAAGTTGTTTTGTGTATTCATCCCTCAAAATCAGCCTTTTGGATTTTCAAGTCATGTTGATGTCAGCAATCCACAACCATAAATAATTCTGTTGTGGGGATTGAGAAGAAGGGTTTAGATATATCAAAATACTGGAATATAATTTTTTTTTTTTTTTTCCCTGCAAGGAATACAAACATTTGGAAAAAATGTTCTTGTAGCCGGAAGATCCAAAAATGTTGGAATGCCTATTTCAATGCTTTTACATACTGATGGAGAGCATGAAAGGCCTGGAGGTAAGTCCAGGAATGTTATCCCAATGTTTCCATTTGTGAAGTCCTGAAAATAAAGCTGGCTAGAGGACCCAGATTTAAGACCAAGCTTTCCACACTTTTGAATACTTTCGACCAGACCAAGAAAATAAATTTGCTAACACATTTCCTGCCTTATTCTCAGGAGAGCAGTTTCTGGACTTGACTTTTTCTGGTGTTAAGTCATCACTTCTTCCTCCATTTGAAACAGCTACTATTTCAAGTGATCCTTGAGCCTAGCCTTGAAGAGCTGCTGAGGCTCCTGTGATGGTTTTACAATGTAGCTGTTTATGTGCCTTACCCTCATGCTTGTTCAATATTGATTTTGTTGGTCATGCAGCAGTGAGCACACGTACACATATGTCTACATGTACACACACAGATTTAAGTATGAATAAACAAAAAAGTGTGGCATGACCCTTGAGTTGTGCTATGTCAGTGAGGTGTTGCTTGTAAAAGTACCTGAATGACCAACCAAGGAACTCTACAGTGTGAGTACCATGATTACTTGTTGGCCTGGGGGGTGTTTCTGCAGTGCAGTTTATATCCCCCTGGAAATTGAGTGCTGTGGTGGAAATATTTTTAAGGAATCCTAATTACAGAAGCCTACATGTGCTGCTATAATGGTGCTGTAGAAATTAAAACAAATATAGCTTAGATAGAATGCTGCCCTTTTGCTGCTTCATTTTGATGTTAGAAACTGCTGTGGTGGTATCCACAAATGAGGTGAACATGGACATTTAATTCCAGGCCTGTTTAATTGGAGCAGAGTGAAATCTGTTATTAATATAATAAAACACTAAAAGCTTTATACTAATCATAGAGTTGGTTTTTCCGTTCAGCCTCTGTGGGAAAGTTGCTGTTTGGAACTTCTCTCAGTGCCTGGATTGTAATTACCATTGCTGCATAGTTCTGGTCTCATCCTCATTCCCACGGAAATGAGTAGCATTTTTGCCATTTGCTGCAAATATTGGGTGACATTTGTTATTGGCAGTGCAGCTGATGTTTGAAGTAGGCTTGGTAGAACACAAGGTCATGTTACAAACTACTTACACATTTCCCACCTGGAAATGAGGGGACCTAGTGACCTGTGATGCTTTCAGCAGCTTGTTGCAAAACCCTCAGCAGCTGCATGGGCAGATTCTAGCTGTGACTGAACACTGTTTGCAGCTTCCAGCTTTTGAGTGGATTGGATTCACGGCTCAGTTTTGTTGTCTTGTATCCTGGCTTTCTAGTTCCTGTTTGACTGTCTGGTAGTGCAGCTTGGTTTGGGGGGTCAGTCCATGAGATTTTTGTGGTGCTTCATGGTCTTCTGCCAAAGTTGTGGTTCCTGACACGTCAGAAGGCTTTGATTGAAACCCTTGAAAATGCTTGCGGGCATTGCCAGTGGTTCTAGGTATGTCACATATTTGGTGCAGGGACAGAAGAATCTTCATAGTCCCTTGCTGACACTGGAACCTGGATACAGAAAGAGTTAACTCATGGAAGTTCTTTGCCTAATCTGAAGAAATGGATTTATTTCTCAGGTAGTTTCATAGTTTCCCAGTCTGCTGAGTGCTGGCACACAGTACAAAACGGGTGGCAATGAGAAAACAAAAGAATGTGTACTCCTGATAATCAGCTGGCATTAAGTGTCTATGTGCTGTGTATATGATGGTAAATAATTCTGTATTTGGGGTAATCTGGTGGAGTTTTCCTCCCTGACTCACAGATGGGGCTCTTCTTGAAGTTCATCTTTTGCATTTGGGTTTAATTTCTGCTTTGAGCAGCGAGAGATTGGCCTGGATGGCATGTGAAAAGGAAGGGGGGCCAGGCCATGGTTTCAGCTTTTTTTCCTTTTTTGAAACTCGGGAGGATAGGGACTAGAGAAGAACTACAGTAAGATGCTGAAAAACCTTTCTCAGGTTATCAGTCAAGAAAGAGGTTTTTTCATCAACTGGGCTGATTTGATTAATTTTTTTACAATTGAGAAATTATGCAAGGAGTGGGTATATATGGTACTACTTTTTGTTGTACATTTTGGTTGGTTTTCTTTCTAGATTATGAACAAAAATTACAAGCTGGGGACTGTCATAATTTGATGTTTCATATGTAGATGCACTCATGTCCTGCAGGTGGCAATATCTGATCAGATGGAAAAGCTATGTGAACCCCTTCCAAAATAAATACTGTTCTGTGTAGGCAGGTCAAGAGACTATCTCTGTTTTGTAAGCTAGAGAATTGGCTTGGGAGTATGATGTGGAATCTTAATTGTTAAATATATTCCTCTTCTTTAAGCAGAAGTAGCAGTGTAAAAGTAGTTGTTTATTTTCTGTTTGGGCATGATCACAAATAAATGGAAAACCTCCCCTTTCTGAGGTGTCTGTAAGCTTCTGGACTGCTATTCTCAAGGTAGGGGCTTTTTTTTTTCCCCTTTTTTTTTTCTCCTTTCATTTTTGGTAGTGAAGGCAGTTGCTTGGTTTCAGGAGCTGACTACAGACACATTAAAAGTTTACAGACAAATTAGCACCTATTTTATTCCTCAGAGATAACCTTGTAACTTTGGCTTTTATCCATTGGTTTTTCTCAACCTTTATGCTGAGTCATGGTTGTGGTTTTGGGTGAGACATACTTCTTTTGCTTAAAGCAGGTATTGGAAGACTCCTCTATTTTTTTCAGCCTGTACTTTTCTGGTTTTGTCATCTGCAAATATTTTGATCTGCTTGTCTTTGGGGAGATAATGTGCACTGTAGAGCCTGGAGAAGAGGCATAAAAACTGAGGGGAGAGAGCAGTGAAGCCAGGGCACAGAAAGGTTGAAGATGAGATGCCTGAGAGAGATAATGAGAGGCACAGATTAGACCAGTCAGACACATTCCAAAGGAAGCAGATGTGATGGGCATGTCTGAGAAGGCAAAAGGTTTCAGTTTAATTGTAAATAACATGGCCTAGGTGTCTGTGATGAGCGGAAGGCAGAGATGGGGGTATGTAACACCTGAACACTGTGCAGTAAAAATAATTATAGAAAGGCTTGGCAGCAGTTTCTTGGAGAGCTGTTCTCTGCTTGCTTGGGCAGCCTTCAAGGGAATAGCACACTGCTGTTGGATGCAGTATGAGCCTTTGGACCCTCTCCCTGTGACTGCTCATGTTGTGGTCTCTCCTCAGTGTCTCCATCAAACATCACAAGGGTTTTCATGTCTTAGCAGGAGAGTTTATTATGTGTGCTTCTTGTGCTTCTACTGATGGTCTTGTGTTGAAGTTTTTGTGTGTGGCAAACAGCTGAGTCATGTGGCACCCTCTACACACTGACCTTGGTAAAACACACTGGTTTCTGTGCTGGGTTTGTTTTGTGGCATTCCACTGAATGTAACAAAGCCATGGAAGGTTTTCCCTTCCCATGGAAGGGAGTTGAGCCCACAGTATATAAATGAATTCATCCTGTGAGAACTTTTAAGAACAAATGTTTTTTCATATGTGTGAGCAGCAAGTCTTGTGAGTGTTCTGCCTATGCTGATTTAAAAGTCACATCCCGAGACAAATCTGATCATCTGTGTTGTTAATGTACCAAAGTAAATAATTTGCACCTGAGGGTAAATGCTGTGCTTTTTATAGTATTTTACATCTGACAATTCATTGTTTTTCTCTTCTGTTTCAGGTGATGCTACAGTGACCATTACTCACAGATACACCCCAAAAGAGCAGCTCAAGATCCATACACAGCTTGCTGACATAGTAATAGTTGCTGCAGGTAATGCTGGTTGGTGTTGATGCTCCAATTGCAGTATTTCAGACCTTCTGAAAAGAGGACTTTGCAGTCTGTGTCTGTGGCACTGGCTGTTTCACACCTCACTGAATAATCAGTTCTTGCTGAGGGTGTTGCAGTAGGTAGGATTTCTCCCTGTAGGAAGGGCAAGTGATTTGGCTCTTTGTTCTTGCCCTTCACATTTGCAGACTCATAAACTGCTTCTTGTCACATGCGACACCTTTCCCTTAGGGAGACTTTGGAGTGAACTCAAGATTGGGAACCAGTCAGTGCATAGTTTATACAGGTGTAATTATGTAAATTAAAACATTCTCTGTGCCATGGAAAAATCATGAGTCATTTAAATTTTGACAGGAGGGTTTCTTTAAATCAGCTGGAGCCTGCATTCGTATGCCCACAGTATCATTCCACCACTGTTAGAATTAAGGCCAACCTTGCCAAATTAAATGGAGGTTTGGGTAAATGTTAGTAATGGCTGGGGCTTTTTTTCCTTTACAATCATCATGTCAAGAGAAAGACAATGGTAATTGCCTAGAGGAAGGGGACTGAAAGAGCAGTGTCTGTACTCTTAAAGCAACATAAACTGAAATACTTGGAGTTTAACTAATCTGTCCCAAAGAAACAAAAGGAACTCTGCTTCTAAGTAGCCTTTTTTATTTGTTTACAGGTATTTGAAGTAGAATACAAATTAATTTTAAAAAATCAAGTGACCCAACTTAGTATGACCTTGGTAAAATTCTGGGTCCCTTTGCAGCTCAGGGGTGTCATCCTTCTCTTGTACTGTTTTGTTGGACTACAAGAGGATTGTCTTTCCTTTTTTCTGCTCCCTTTCCCCCTGTTTCTCATCCTGAAGACCCAAGACTTCCTTGTGTATTTTCTAGATGAAGACAGACAGGTACCTGTCTAAAACTTGTCACTTCATGTTGAAGTGAGATGCCCTTGCCTTCAGGGTTTAACTTCGCTGGCAGGCCAGGATCAAGAAACAACTTATTTATCCCACATCTAATTGTTCAACTGTGGGCCTGACCAGAATTCACCACTGTGAATAAAAGACAGCAATGGTGTGCTAACTGGAAGTAAACCAGTGGCATTTCATCCAAATTCACTGCTTCCAGTTTAATCATTGCTTCTGATTTCTGTGCTGAACATGGTTTGTCATTGTTTATGCTTGGAGTTAAATGGTCCGGTAGCCATTCAGCCATGTTTGCCTTTCACATTATTTTCCTTCTATAATTTGTAACAGGAGCATGATACAACACTCAGTACACAACTTGAGATATACTTGGAATGATGAAAAAACCTGGGGCTAGGTTGTGCAAACAGGACTCGGCCCTGCCCTGGTGTGTGCTCTGGGGAAAGTTGTGTTTTAGAAAGGTGGAATCACTTCAAGCTTCCTTTTATTGCATGAGAACTGTGCCCATTTTACCTCTGGGATCACACACTCCCCGGAAGTGGGTGATCTGTTGAGTAAGTGTTGCCTTTCTTGCAACTTGTACCTTGCCAGGTTGGAACAGCTGCTTTTACAGGCCCCTGCAGAATATGTGCAGAAGAAGAGAGCTTTTTTTGTGTGTGCCTGCATTGGAAGAACAAGGTTCCTTTTCCTGTGTGGTACTTTTGCAAGAGCCATCTGCATCCTGGCTCCTGATTGGTGACTTGTTGCAGTGAGTCCCTTCTGATCTGGTGCTCCACCTCTGAGTGCTTTCCTGTTCACTTGCATTCATGGTTTTGGTGGTACTTCAGATCAGGTGCTTCTTTTCTCTTACTCCTGAAAGTAAGAAGATCTGGCTCTGTGTGCTGTCTCTCATTTGCCCCCAGGCTTGGGGCACCAATTTTCCTGATTTGGATTGAAACTATCCATGCAGTTGATTCCTTCTTATTCCTACCCAACTCCTTGCATCTTAAATTCCAACAGGCTGCTTTTGTCCAGCCTACCCCTCCCTAAAATTTCTTTCAATACCACGCAGCTTTTGGATTTCTATCTAAGGCATTGTTTCCTGTTAAGCACTCCTGCCACTTTGTATCTCGCCACAGGGGTTACCCCTCTTGGCCTGTACTCCCTGCCTGTACAGACATCCCATGGAGTCTGTTCTTTTTGCCATCAGCCCAGCCCCGTGGCAGCAGTGCAAGTGCAGCTTTACCCAGCAGTGCTCCTAGAGCCACCTCAGGACAGGCAAGGCTGTGATGGAAGCAGCAGGACTCTGGAGCCAGTCAGCTTGCTGCTCCTGCTCTCTGGGCTTTTCAGTCTGCTGGCAGAAACAGGGCTCATCTGCCTGCCACGTTTTGGAGGGGGGATAAACAGGAAAAGTAGTGACTGTGTCAAATTCCAGACGAACTTCTGCTTGGACTGCTTGTGCTGTCCCTCAGGACATGATCTGTGGTCTTCTTGTGTTGGAAGTGCTGGTTGATCAGACCTTTTATTCTGGTTAGCTTCCTTGGAAATTCACAGTTCTTGCATCTAAACTCAGATTAGGTAGGGCCTTGTTCTTCCTTTGTTTAAAATGTGATTCATCATTTTCTGCAAAAATTGCCAACGAAAAGTTTTTCCATATTCTTCAGTCAGTGCAGTTTAGGAAAACCTACCCTAATGTTTATCCCTTCCTACTTGGTATGTAAAGCAGGCTTAAGTAGCTAGATATGCTCATTTGGTTTGGGGGTTAGTTCATTTGTTGCTATTAAGTATTTGGCTTATTATCAAACCATTTTACAAAGCATGTAACTGTGCAGCTTCCATTAATATACTTGCAGCCCTATCACACACAGATCATTTACCCCCATAAGGCTGAAGCATTATCCAATTACCAGCCAGGTTACCATGGATTACATCAGATTGGGATGAAGGAGATGCAGTCAGATGTTATCAAACAAGGTAGGAAAGAGTTTGTGATCTTGGCTTGCTCAACATGAGAAGCAGAGTTTCAAGCAAGTATCTTATGGGGGAGTGAGAAATGGAGAGCAAGGAGTGTCCTGGTACTGTCTGTATCCAAATGGCTGTGTCAGTGCTTCAGCACTGCACATGGAGCCAGAGCCTTGTACACCAGCCCTTCCCTCCAAAAAAACTGCACTTTCAACCCATATGGATTTGGTTTGTTTTCCTGTTCGCCTTCTCCCCACCTGAGAGAAAGCTGCTTTGATGGGGAGAGGGGAGTTCAGACTCCCTTTTTGGAGGTAGTTTAACATTGCTTTCAGAACAGAAAGCTGATGGCATTGCTCAAGAAGCAAGGTGAGTTGTAATATTTAGTTAGGAAATTCCCACTACTGAAAGTTGGAGGTTGCACGGTAGGGAAGAAATTCCTGACAGGAGTCATAGGGCCATGGATACATTTCATTAGCTAGACTTTGAAGTGACCTTTTAGTTTTTCTGGGTCCCCACTGAAGCACATATTTGTGATGAGTATCAAGAAGCTTAACATTTAAATGTGCTGGAGAAATATGGTGCATATGAAAAAAGATGAGGTGGTTTGTTGTGGCACTTTCAGGTGGAATTTTTCAATAGCCAAATACTCCTACTCCAGGACCCCACACAGAGATGAAGAAGCCCATAAAGTTTGCAGTGCCCAGGGTGGGTCTCCCAGGACAAGTGCAGAAGTCTCCCAAATTGCTGTAAAGAGCAAGAAATGGTCCATTGTCCCTGTGGAAGATCAGTGTTGTCTGCTGGGACTCTGTAACAGTTGAAATTGCCTTCTGGTTGAGTGTGTTTCTTGACCCAAAACCAATCCCATGGCACAACTTCTGGTGGGATGTTTTTTGTGGTTTTTTTTTCCTCTTTTCTCTAGTAGTGGTTACAAACAGTGTGCAATTGATGAATAGTTGTGTTCAGTGTGGGGTGTACCAAGAAATATTCAGTGTTGTAGATTTCTATTCTGTGCATGCATAGCTGTGCATGCACACCCCTTGATATCATTCAAAAGTGATTACTTCAGGTTGCCTGGCCAGGGTAGTGAAATGTGTGTTTATGATTCCAGGTATCCCAAAGTTGATTACAGCTGATATGGTCAAAGAAGGTGCAGCTGTGATTGATGTAGGCATCAACCATATCCATGATCCTCTTACAGGAAAAACCAAATTAGTTGGTGATGTGGACTTTGAAGGTTAGTGAAACACTCTTTATACAAATCCATTGGATAAATATATTGAAGTTCATAGCATTCACTCATGGTAAGTTTTTGGACTAGGCAGTGTTTCAAATAAGACTATGTTTTCAGGAATTTTTTATAATGTGTTTACTTAAATAAGAACAAAAATCTATCTGCTATTAACAAATTGCTTGTTAGTTAGGAGACAAAGTGTCACTTTTAATTACAGGTACCAGCAACCCCTAAGAGACACAGATGAGCTCTTTGGCAGTGGGGTAGAAGGTGCTTGTGTCCAGTTCCTTTAATCTTTTGAGTTTGTGGAATGTTTGAAAAGTAATCAATGAAGACAATTTCTGCTCTTTCTCAAGCATAGGGTCTCCTGCTGTTTGTAGCAACTTATTAAACCACAGCTTCTCAAAGCCTCCTTTTGTTCTCCTCCTCTACACTTGTCTGTGAAAATGCTAACTTGGCTTTAGAAATATGCTTTATGCTAAAGTTTAATGTGTGCTCGTCTAAAGTGCTTAACATCTTAGTCCAGGCAAGCCTTACAGATAAAAATTGTTGTTACATATTGATCTTTTTATGTTTAACTTGTTGCAGAGCAAGTTCACAATGTAACTTGATTAAATATCTCTGCTCTGGAGGAGCTCCAGACTGGAATAGCAGGATTGTTGCACTTATTGGCAGGGTTGAGTGTGGGAAGCTTAGACAGCATTTACCCACATTATTAATGGTTCTCAACAGTTCCTTGTTTTGATAAGTATGAAAATCACCCACAGGTTTTTTTCCACAGTTATTAACATCTTGGCTGGCATAATGTTTCAAAGCTTAATTATATTCAGAATGGTTTTAGCCAGCTGTGTGTATTTCTAATTACATCACTCCCTTAGTTCCCTGCTGCTTTTATTCATCATGCATGTTACCTGTCTGTTAAAGTCTGTGAAATTACCTGCATGAGTATAGCTGAGCGACTGTCTTGGAATGTGCTTGGAAATGTGTAACTGGATGTGTGCAACAGGGCTCCAGGAAAAGAAACCTTTTGGAGGACAGCTTGAAAAAAAAAATTCCCCCTTATCCTGCCTGGATTTGTGGTATCACAAAGAAAAGGTTCTATTTTCTGTTTTCAGAGCTGAACTAAAGTACAGACAGTTTCCAGGTATTTGGTTAGCTTTAGCAGGTAGGGGAGTACAAAAGCTGTGGGAACTTTGGGAACGTTTCACGTGAACCTGCATCCTTCTTGTTTATTTCTCTTCAAACACGGGACCTTGTGCCTGCAATAAAGGTGTAGATTCAGTGGCAAGGCCATGATTCAGAGTTTCAGCAATGTGCTCTATCTGTCTCATCATGTCTGCTGTGGGTTGTTCTCGAGATTTCACCTGGGGGGAGGGAAGATCCAAAAAAGAGGGAGGAACTTCAGCTTGGATTATGCCACTGCAGTTACAAGTAGCATTTCTCTGTGCATTGCCAAAGGGAAGCTGTTGTTGGTTCATTGGTATCGGTGAAAGTTTCACTGAATCTTTAACAACAACAAAAATCATCCCAGTGTATACAGTTCTGAAGACTAGCAAGTAAACCACCCTTGGCAAGTACTTGATCTGGCAGTTAGGAAATGGAATAAGCCAGCAAGTTTGTGTAGCAAATAATTTTATCCTTTTCCCCTGTTTGATCACTTGGTTGGAACTCTGTTTAAGCCTGAGTGGAAATGGATTTTGCAGGTTGAGGCTAGGCACATAAATGGCTGTATTGAGATGTGGCCCCTGTGTAACATCACATAGCCCACCAGTATGTATTGTCTCTTCATCCACTTCTTTAGGAGAAAAATCCGGAGAGAGAGGTTTAAGTGGCCAATGAGAGTTCAAATTTCATTTACAAAAACTAGAGGGAAATGTCTTCCTTCACCAGGTCGTCTGGCTGAAATGTTCCTGTAGTGGAAATTAAGTTTATTAGGTGGGTGGAAGGTGTTTTGATTCAGTTGCTTATCTTGCAAGTACTTGGATCCCATCTTCTAATCTCTGCAAGGTAGGTGAGAGAGTTGAAGTTTATTTTTATCTCCTTAACAACAAAAGGATGCATTTAATTTCTTTTTTGTGTCTTTCGTTGTTAAATTCAGTGTACACATTTGTGAAATTAATGGAATGCCTTTAATAAGCAGTATTTGTGATTTCCCATTTCCCCACGTGTCCTCTTTATTTTGACACTCCAAACTGTGTGCACATCAAAAACCAGTAGTTGCTTGGTCCAGAATAGTTTACTGTGCAGTTCCCAGGTATCTAAAAGAGCAAGACAGGAGAACACTGTGCATGTGGAGGTCAGCTGCCAAGCACTGAGTTATCCAGCCTGATACTGCAGGGATAAATGGAACTGCATGTGCTACTCTTCATGTGAAACTACCACAGCGTATGGAGAATCCCTGCTTATGTTAAGAATCCTATGCTCTGGGGAGTGGCTGTCCTCCCTTGTGGAGGCATCAGGAGGAAGAGTGAAGTGCCAGGAGTGAGGAGAAGCAGTGGCATCCCTGTGTGATCCCCAGTGCCGTTTTAGCTGCTTTTGGGCAGCAAGTTTCAGTTACAGAAAGGGAGATCTGTTTCTCTGAGCAGCCTAGTGCGTGTGTGGGTGCACTTGGCCCTGTTTTATACGCTTTTGTTGCCACAACTATAATGCCAAGGGAGGAGGAGGGCTACAAGGACCAGGAACATGAAATAAAGCAACAACTTACCCAGAAGATTTAGCTGAAACAGCTCTTTTGGGTGGAGCATCATTTCCAGGAGTAACTGGTAGAGCAGGCTACTAACACGCTGCAGTAGTGGTTCACCTGTGCAAGTGGAACTGGAAATACCAATGAAACCGAAGTTGCTTGTATTTCTTTACAATTCCTTCCAGATTTTTTGACAAACAGCAGTGCTGATTGTTCAGTCTTGATTAGATGCCTATGTAGAAAAGGTATCCTTTGTGTGAGATTTTTGTTAGGTGATGCAGTTGTGATGTGAGTGGAGGGCTTTACACATTAGAACTGTTCTTTCTGACTGGAAGTGTGAAAGATTGTGGAGAATTGGTGCCACCATGAGCAGGGAGGGATTGCCAGCACTGAAGAGCAGAAGAGGGAGCTCCAACAGGTGATTGATGTGGTCTGAGGTGATGGGCCTATATTATGCATTTTCTCTAAATAGGATTACCCACCATAGTCTTCAATTCCAATGAATTGGTGGAAGTGGTGGTCCTCAGGTGTGTCTTGGCAGCAGCATGCAGGAAACCTGGCCTCTGTGACAGCCACTGCATCTGACGGTGTTTGCTGCCTCTCCGCGTTCATTGCAGTACCTGCCTGGCTATAGGCTGCTCCTCACTCCTTGAATCTTTTCCAAACTAGCTCCCTGTGCAGCTTTCCCAAACAGTGGTCACAGAAACAGAATGTGCATGTTCCGGGTGCTTTTGCTATAACTTTAGTTAGTTCCTTTCTCAGTTGATTTCAAAGATCTGGCATTTATTTTGCCATGGAGAAGAGCCCAGTCTGTGTGATCACATCACCACATCGCTGCCCTGCAGACCTTAGGGGAACCATTGCCTGTTGTGCTCCATGACTGCAAGGAATGAATCAGAAGGTTGGTGTTAGGCTGTGACAGAAGCCAGTAGGCTGCTGGCTAACTGGGGTCAGTGAGCTGCTGCATGGCCTGTCAAGGTTCTCCTGCACAGAAGAGGGTGGTCTTGTTCAGCAGTGTCACTGATACACACTGTTGGAATTACAGCACTGCACCAGAATTCCTTAGTTTTCCTTTATATTGCAGTTAAAATAGCTACAATAAGAGAAACAAGGATGAGAAAAAGCAGGAACTCTGAGAAATGGGGTAGATGCTTGCTGGTTTGTGTCCCACAGTGCATAGTGAGAAGAATCCCAGAACATGTGGAGCAGAACATGGGATATCTAGTGTGGCTGCTGAGCAGTGGTTTCACACTTGGGCAGTGCTGCAGGGATCTGGTGTAGCTTTACAGGGACTTGTAAAGCCGTGTGGAAACAGTGCTTAGGCAGGAACTACTCTGCATCACTTAATGCAGATGCATAGGACCCAGAGCTGCCTTCAGGTTGAGACTTGCCATTGGTTTGTGTGATTAACCCTATTAGGTGTCTGATGTCCTCAGCTTTAAAGGAACCTAGGAATGAAGGGCTGTCTCCAAAGCAGTGGATCCTGTTTTTCAAGGAAACAATCTACATTTCATTTCTTCTGAAGAATCAAAGGAAGATTTCAAGGTTCTACAGAAGCTGCAAAACAGCAGCTCCTCCCCCATAGGTGTCTGATTTGCATTTTCCAGATTGTCAGGGGAAGGCCTGGGAGACCAGGGCCCATCTGGAGAAAGCAGGAGAAAAGCTGTGGACTTTTTTACTTTGAAGTAACTGAAAGTTACTTCATTCCTGAGAAGCAGAAGCAGGACCTGATGGAACTGACAGCACACCAGCTCACCTGCCTACATGAGATCAGCCACACATTTATGTGGTGTCTGAGAACTGTGCTTGGGCCTATTTCACTTGACCAGGAAAGTCTATTGATGTTTTTGAGGCCAAGCTATCTCCCCCCTTTGGTTGCTGGCATTCATCTTGGAAAATTGCACTCACCATATCTGTACTCTTACCAATGGAAACTTATCAGATGGCAATTTTCCCAGCACAGACACCTGTTGTGTGTTCAAAAATCTGGATTAGCTTTTGTGCATGAGCTATCTGGGTGGTTTTATGCTAACTGGCAAGAAATTTGGCTTCTGCCACGCCTCTCCACAGGGATTTCCACAATGGTATAATATGGGCAGAGGAATTCCCCAACAACTTGGGAAAACAGTGCACTGTGTGTTTCCTGCTGGGTAGGGTTACTAACACCACAGGCAATGCGTGCTCTACCTGATAGTGACCTGACAGGCATTGAAAGCCTTTCTTGAGGAAAGACAAGGTCTGGTTGGGGGTTGTCCTCTTTGTAGGTCAGGTGGGAGTACTTTGAATAACACCACAAAAAGAGGTAGGTAACATTGCCATGAAAACCATCATATTTCAGTTTAAAGTGCCTACAGTATTTTCTGTGTGAATGGCTGTGTTTTCTTCAGATGTGGGTACATTTCAATAATTATGACAATCTGAAAACTCATAGTAACTGTATTAACTCTAAGCACCATTCGGAAATGGTATGTACTTCAAAATAGTATTACTATTAAAAAGGTTAATAGTTTGTTTGAGAATATTGAGACGTAACTGTCATATGATATCTTAATTAAATTTGTTGAATTTTACATCTGAAGAAAAACCACATTGTAGCCTGATTTCCTTTCCATATATTTTAAGAGTATACCTGGTGGTGCCAGTCAACAGGGTAATTAAAACCCTCCTGGTTGTATTTACCAGCTCTCCTCAGTGAGGGTTGATCTTCTGTTCTTTAATTCAGCGAGATATTTGCTGTTAACTTTGCAAATGCTCTCATGAGTTCCCTGCCATAGGGGACGTTCAGACAGCATTTTAATAATTTCATTTATGTCTGGCTCCTCAAATCTAGTGAATATCATTTTCCAAAACTCCCAGTGTCCAATTTTTCAAATTCTTTTGTAATATTTCTTTTTTTTGAGATCTTATTCCTCAGTTGACAGACAGTTGAGCACCACATAGATTCCAGAGATTCAAGATAAATACCCTAAAAGCAGTAGCAAGTGATCTTGTTTGTTCCAAAGCCAGGTGCCTAGTTTTCAGTCTCTTAACATCTTCTGATAGGCAGGCAGAGTCTGCTCTGTAGGGACTTCAGTAAAATTGAATGTGTTTCTGTCAGTTATGCTTGCTTAGGTGTCTCCTGTGTGTTAGTCTTTGAAAAAGCAAAGCTTCTGTAAGTGCGAAATGATTTACCAAGAACTTATTACTAAGCAAGCCAGAAAAAGCCCCAAACTAACAAACAAAAAACCTCTCATGGTGGTGCCCTAAAAAAACCTGACTCTCAGTATTAACAAGGTGAGTTCCTACAAAGTTGAGCAGAATTCTTTTGCCAACAGCCTGTAATTCTGATCAATGGCATTTTGCACAGTAGATAAGAAGATCAAGCCAGGATTTATTGCTGTGTTGTATGAATTCCTCATACAAACAGATTAACTTAAATGCCCTCAAAGTGTACACTGAATTTCAATAGTCTAACATGACTAATGGTTGGAGCTGCTTCGGTAAGATTTTCCTTTGTGATACTTCACAAAGAACCTGCCCCTTTGCATCCTGGTTTAACCTAGGCACCCTGGTAAAACTGATCTTTAAAAATGTCTTTTCTGGAGGAGCTGAGTGTTTCCGGCTGAAATTGCAATGGGAATTCTGCCACTAGAATTGTTTTTTTTCCTTGAAGAAAACTGTTGTCCTTGTCTATAGTGTGAATCAGAAAAACAAATCAAACAGAAAATTGTACTCTCTCCCTCTCCAGTTTTAAGTTTCTTTCTATGATCTCAGGGTGTCTTTATAGCTTGTGGTGTAGGAGAACAGATTATGGGACTGAGGGAGTGGGGCTGTGGCTGAGCCTCATCCCTAATGGTGTGCAGCTGTGTAAAACAGGTGAACATCATTCAAGGAAAATGAGCAGGGAATGCTGAGGTGCATTGACCAATCAAAAAGGAGTAAAAGGCCACACAGGTGTTGTACATGTGAGAAGCAGGGTAGAAAAGGTTGTACTGGGGAGTTTAAATATGCTGATGCTTGAAACCATTCGTGGTGTTGGTTGTGTGCCCTCTGTCACATGGGGGACAGAGGCTAACTAGGTGACTTGGCTGCTGCTCTGCTGTGGATGGCAGTAGTTCCAGCAATCTCGTGCTCTGCGTGCTGCTCCTCAGGAACACAGAGTTGGGGGGGGGGGGTCACCTCCTTACCTACAGAATGGCATCACCACCTTCCATAGCCCTCCTGGATATTGGAAGTGCCGTGTCCCAGCTGACAGATGGGGGTGATGCATGTCCATGCTGCTCTCCTGGGCTCATCCTGACCACCTGTCACACAGATGTTCCTGGGACAGCTGGTCAGCTGTGTCACATGGGCAGAAATTTTACCTTACCAAAAGAATTCCTTGGGATTAATGTTCCATCTGTCTGAGCACAGGCTGTGTGAGTGCCTGTGCTGCCATGGGGAGAGGGCAAGGTGCTGCAGGTAGATCAGCTGGAACAGGTTGTGCAGCCCTGGCCCAGAACTAGCCCTGGGTGATACATTCACATTAGGAGAAGAACCTTGCAGCCCCGATGCTGGCCCCATTCCATCCCTGCCCTGGCTGGTCCCTTCCCTGCAGTACCTGCCAGTCACAGCCCTTCCTGTATATCTGGGAAAAAAGGTTTGGAAGTGTTCTTAGTCAATGCCTTTTTCTCTTTTCTCTTAGAAGTGAAGAAGAAGGCTGCCTTTATCACTCCGGTGCCGGGAGGAGTAGGACCTATGACTGTTGCAATGCTTCTGAAGAACACACTCCTGGTGGCTAAAAAGCTCATTTACTAGAGCAAATGGTTTACCTTGGAAGAAGAATCTGGGTTGTTCTATTTATTGATACACAAAACACTTTTTTACTATAAATATATTTATTTCTACCTTGTATTTATTTTTACATGTCAGGTATGTTAAATCTGATGGTTTATAAAATGTTCAGATACTTTGTCTTTCCTCCTACTGACTTATTGTGAGCAAAATTGACTTTGAGAATGCAGCCTACACGGGTATGTTGGTGGTGGTGGCCAATTATGTGTTGGAGAATGAAGAATGAAGCATAAATTACAACTTCACCTATGTATTGGGGCAGTTATCAAGGTCCTGTAAACACTTGGGACCTGTTCAAACAATATAAAAACTAAGACATGCTAAATATCTTTCAAATACATGGTTTGGGTTCTGAGGTCACTAGGCACTCTGGATGTAGTTCAGGGTCTTTAAATACTTTTTTTGAACGAGTAGAGCCAGCAGTGGCCAGGCAGTAATGTTGACATGAATGCGAATGTTCAGTGAATGTTTTAAAAGAGTCAAGCTTGAATGCTGGTGAAATTCTGACTTGAAACACCTGCAAGAGGTAAGCGTGAATAAGTAGCTAGAATTGAGACTGGAGTTATTTTTTTTCTATGTCTGGGCAAATTGCTTTGGTGCCTAATACTGCCATCTCATAAAAACCCCTCAAACCTGGCCAGTTGCTTGGGCTGAATTTGATTGAAATTGAACGGAATGGAATCAAATTGATTGGAATTGAATGGAATGTAGTTAAAACTTCTCTACATGTACAACATATATGTGTGGCAGGAGGTCAAGAGGAGGAGAAAACCAAAGCTTTATCCCTCATGAAAAATTTGTGTTAGAACTTTAAGCCATTTAATTATTCTCTTATTTTTCAAAACTGCATAAAGAGGGCTTTTTTTAATCCATGTTGTAAGCCTCGCCTTCAATGGCCACAGTATTTTGCTGGTTAGAGAAGAGCACATGGGATGAGATCAGTGTGCCTCTATTCCCAAAGCTGTTTCTTGGATGGATCTAGAACAGTTACTGCTGAGATGCCAGTTCAGCTGAATGTGTGCATGCTGATGTTCCCACTGAAGGCACTGGTAGACAGTTAGGATGTCTACATCTGCACCAGGATAACTGATTTATTTTCATCAGGAGCCATAGGTGTTTGCTATTGGGCTATAGTTAACTTGGAAGGGGAAGGAAAAAGACTGTGGTGAAGTTCCCTTGCTGATAAAGGGGAACATGCCTTTACTGTGATAAGTCAAGGTGGAGCATCCTTTCCATGCTCACTGTTCTTGTGATGGATTTTGAGTTTGCTCTTGCACAGTGTTTGCACAAGTTTGACAGGATTATTGCTAAATATACAATGCCAATGGTGCAGATGCTTGTCTTTTTAAATGTAGGTGGTAATATAAATTTATGTGGTAATGTAAGTGGTAGGAGGATGAAGGCACCTATGGAGACTGTACTTGGACTCATCAACCCATGTCTGAAAGATGGAATAAAACTTGTTTGCTGTTACCTTGGTCTTGCTGGAGGCTGTTGATGTGGTTTGGGGCATGGTTGTGTTCTTCCTTTGTTTATTGTGTTCAATCATTGCTGTGTCCATCTGTTTGCGCTGCTGTTTGTTTTCTTTGGTTTAACTGTGATCATCTCTGTGATTTTTGTCAGAGTAGCCATTTAAGGCACTGTGCTTGTATTCCTTGAGTGAGCCTGCCTGTGTCATGCCCTCCAAGCAGGTCACTGTGCATGGTAAGCCTTTCCCTTGATCCTGTGGGAGCTGGGTTAGCATTACAGCACAGCCTGTGGGGCCTGGGCTTGGCTCCACTACATGCTGTCTGCAGAGCTGCTGGAGGCTTCCATGAGAGTGCTTTCTGCTGGGAGAACATCCAGAGGGAAGGGCCCATTAGACAAGCCAGAAAGCAGGCTGGTGTGCCTGACCTGGTCAAGGTTTGTCCAAGGACAAACGCCCTGCGGCAGACAGAGCACAGTCTTGCCCATTGCAGCCTTGTCCCAGGCCTACCGCACCCGCTGTGCTGCCTGGTGACAAAGCCTGCCCTCGGATTCAGGCCAGATTAAGCTGCCATTGTGCAGCTGAATGTTGAAAGCAAGGCTCACCAACCTCATCCCTGCTTGGGACTGATAGCAGAGGTTATCCAGGTAGGCATAAACACTCCTGTCCGTCCAGGGAGCGTGCAAGTCGCACTCAATCAGTGTGCAGGCATGCAGTAATTCAGGATAGCAAAGGAAGGGAAAAACCTTCTGGAATGCAGTCCATGAGCAGGAAACGGCATAATTAAAATATGCATAACTAGCTTGTGTTTTTTCCTGAACACGTGAAGTGGTTGGATGTAGTCCTACAGATCACTGAGGAGAATGCCATGGAGAGGGAGGATGTGAGCTGATTGGAGTTACCAAGGCACTTATTAAAAGGCTTTGGGTTTTAAAATCTAAAAATTGTGAAATGTCTTTGCTGCTTGGAGCTCACAGATGAGGAAGTGAGAGTTGCTGAGGTGAGCCATGTACTGCTCCTTTGGTCAGTCAGGTTGTGGATGTCTCAGTGTGTTACTGAACTGGGATTTTCCAATTAACTGCTCTAGTCTGGGCACATCAGTACCCTTCACAGAGACCAGTCCTACTTGTCCCAATCTGCCTGTGACCAAGGAAGCTGTACAGTGTTTGGAGTTGTGGAGAGTGGTTTAGTTCAAGAAGCATGTTTGACAGGTCTGTTCTAGAGACCCTGCAAACACTATGTAACAAGTATGAGTGTTTGCATTAAGCATAGTCACTTCTTGGAGAGGCAGAGATGGGCTTTTCTGGCAGGAATGAAGGGCACTGCTTCTATGGGAGGCAGCAGTTTACCTGCTCTTTCAGCCTGTGTCACTGCTTGTGCTTGGCCAGGTCTGGACTTGTGCCCCGCAGCTCTAGCCAGCAATCCCAGGCCTGGCACCGGCCAGTGGGCTGCCTGGCTTCCCGGACTGTGCACAGCCAGGCTGAGTGCAAAGTGATTAGCACAGCCCTCGGGCTTGCAGGGCCTGGGATCAAAGGCCTCCCGCTGGCAGCCACTGATGAAGAACACCATCCATTATCTTTGTGCCTCATCGCCTCCTAATCTCGGCACTAGCTGTTCCCGCAGTTCCTCTTCTGGATGGCAGGGACTGAGAGATGGGAGGAACAGGGGAGCAGAGCAGGGACTGGCGTCTGCACTTGAACTCCAGTGTAGCATTCTGAGGGTGAATATCCTTCTGGAAGTAATACAAGACCTGCATTATGAGGAGAAAAAAACACCACACTTTCAGTCGTGTTTTGTTTGGCTCACCTTTGTTTGGCTGTTTTTTTGTTCTTTTGCACTGTCAGATTCTGGGTCTCGCTCTAAAACTGCGCCTTTATGCCCACAGGTAATAGGAAACCAAGGTTTCAAAAGAAAACCTGATGCCATTGCTAGATAATAGCAGTTTCCTAAATAAATGTGTGGTTGCCCCGGGGGTTAGGTTGTTACCAGATGCACCTTTTCTTGATTGGTGAGAACAGGAGATGACGCTTCCTGGAGTATAAGTGCAAGAGAAAACACGGGAGCACAGATAAGCACAGCAAGCAAGCCACCTGGAAAGAAGACCTGAGAAGGTGTTAAAGCAGCTGCCATGGCGTTTGGAATGCTAATCTATATTTTGCTGAAAGGTAGGTTTGGAAGAGGCTTTTCTGTGTTGTGAGGTGCCAGGGTTTGTTAAACAGAAACAAAGCCTTTCTCCTTCTGAGATAGGTGGTGGGGTGGGAGCAGTGCAGAGATGTAGGAAGCAGAGCTACTTCAGCCATTTGAAACCTGGATGGAATTTTAACTGATGGGGTGTAATTAAGACTCTGAAAATAAGCTACTTAAACTGGTAAATAGGTGTAAGGTTGTACTATGCTACATGTATCTATGCTGCAAATTGTGCAGGATAATAGAATGGAAAATAGGATGGATTTGTATTTTGGGACATTTGCAAGCCATTGTTTGTTGTCCCACAGTCATAATTATGCTGTGTTAAAAGGAAGTTTGAGGCAAGAGTTTTAAGTGAATTGTTATTGTATTGCTGCCTTCTCTGGGGTTTGTTTGAAGTGCATCTTGTATGAAGTGCTTTCTGGGTGAAATGAACCTTGAATAGATACACTGAGTTTTCTGTTCCAGTAAGCATCTATTTGCATTACACAGCAATGGGGGCACTGAGTGAAGAGTCTGCTATTACTGCTTCATCCCTCAGCACGGACTTACGGATTAATTGGACAAAAAACAATGCTGAAGGTATTGGTTTTTTGTTCTGTTTGTATCTGTTAATCTGTCAACTGGGGGAAAAACCCAACCAACAAAATAAAACTTCCACCAAAATCTGTGATGCTCCATCCCTTGGACACTGTGGGATTTGTGAGACAAGCTGATTTCTTCATGGAGCCTTTGAAGCCTCTCTGGAGTAAGGGCTGCCACCCAGCTGGGATAGGCTCAGCAATGAGCAGCTGAAGGATCATTGAACTCAAGTTTAGTCATGATTTGAAGGATACATTTTAAGGCTGCTGTCCAATTTCTGTTACTTTTGCCTGGTGCTTGGTTTCTGTCTGTCCTCAGCACGCACCTGAATGCGCAGAAGTGAGAAGGAACAGGCACAACGTCAAGCAATGCCTGTCATGAGTTGTTACTCAGTAGTTTCTGTCTTTTGTTGCAGTTTTGCTTTTGGCTGTCTGGGCTTTCTCAGCTCTCATCTGAGTGCTGGCTCTCTCTTCTTCCTTTCTCTTTCCTGACTGAAATGTGAACTCAGGCTCTTTTACCTGCCAGCCTCTGAGAGCAGAGCTGTGTTTATCCTGCCAGCTGCATTGATGTTACCTGAGATGCTGGTGATGTCATTGCTTTTGGAGAGCTGTGCCATCTGGGAATGAGGTTTTGGCAGGTCAGTGAAGGAGGAGAGGAATCTAACTGCAGTACTTTTTAGTGTCTCTGTACTTTGAAAGGCATATAAACCTGCATACAAATAATCTTCTGTCAATTCTAAGTCATCACAGGATGTCTTCCAAGCCTTTTTAGTAGATCCATAAGCTTTTTATTATTTTCTCATAACAAGTCCAGCTGTTTTGTTTTAATTTCTGATCTCTTGTAGTGGCAGAGTGTTACATATACATTCATCCACACACATACTGTATGTGTGGGTTCTTTATACATATACACATAAAATATGGATACACACACTTGTATGCATGTGAAATTGGTAAGGTGTTGGTTTTTGACCACAGTACTTTGGTTTATCAGTGCAGCACTGTGGTCTGGTTTAGTCTGTGACGTGATTCTTGCTGAGCTGCATACACCAAACAGGAGGATAATGAAGTGGAAATACCCTGTGGCTTGTTAAGTGCCCTGTTAGTGTTTCTAGAAAGCAGGAGCAATGGGTCATGTTTCAACAAAGAGGAGGCTTATTTACAGGGTCACAGCCATGTCTGCGGTATTCTGTGAACCTTTGTCGCAGCTGGAGCTGTGGTAGTCAACTGGACACACCAGCATTTTCCTTTAAGAGAATTCCACTCAAAGGCAGTAAAGGAGGCTCTGGAGCTGAGACTGAGCCCTTCCCTGCCTCCTCCTTCCCACTGCCTTTCCTCCCTGATGCACCATACTTGTGGACTGAGCTGTCATGGTCTTACCGGCTGACTCCTTTTGTTGCCAGTCTGTTAGTTTTGGCAAGCCCAGGCTTCCAAGTACCTGTAACCCTGATTTCATGTCAGGTCTTGCCAGGTGCATCTCTTTGAATGACTCAGTTGCAGGCAGCTGTCAAGTGCTTACATGGCATGTTTCTCTCTCCTCATGTGACATGAAAGGGCACATGGACCTGTTTATTCAACAGCTTGTTTAGGATCTAGGCAGGCAGTATGATAGGAATTAACATAATGCTCTGGGGCAGGCTAGGAAATCATCCTTTTTGTTTTTGAGACTCATTCTTTCAGAGGTAATTTGTACTTCTGCAATGTCAAAATAATTAGCTCACGGAATTTTTGTGTGTAGACTTAATAGGTGATGTTACCCACAATGGACCAAGCTGTTCCTCCTGACAGCGAAGGAGGAATGTGCTGGTCTGTCTCAAGTGCTTTCTAGGCAGGCTGCTGCTCCGGGCTGACCTGGGTTTCTAATGACACTGGCAGTCAGGGAAAGGGGTTCCTGTGTCTGCGCAAAGCCAGGTTTCCTGCAGGTGTGGGTAGGTGGAAGTCTGCCACCTCTCGGCAGAGCTAGCATGAGCAAGGAGAGATTTTGGGATGTGGCAATCCATCTGGTCAAAGTTGGGGTAGAGGTGGCTGGGGATTTTGTGCCTCTGGGGTGTGAATTTGTACCTTCCTCATGTTTATTTTCTTTCTTCCCCTCGTGGAAGAAATGGAAATGAAAGGCTAAACCTGTGCAATAGACACCTTCTCAGGGCCTAGGAGAAGAGCAGTACTTTGGGTAGTGGGAAATGCTGGCTGAAGTCTCCCATTGAAGGATATTTTTAGTGGTCTTCTAGTGCACTTTGTGCTGAAATGGTGATTCAAAACAGTTGGTGCCTGAGTGTTTGAGGAGGCTCCTGGGAAAAGTGTGCATGTGCCATTGTCTGTTTTCTGAAACTCTTCCCTGTGGAGCTTAGGTAGCTGTTCTGCAGGTACTTTAGACCTAACCAGAGTGGGCTGTTGAGAGTCTCTGGCACCCTGGATCTCCTTGGCATGCTAAGCCCTGCAGCTCTGCTGCCCACATGCTTTCCTTTGTGCTTTCCTCATCAGAGAGCAGTGTACAGTTCTCCTGTGCAGCCAGTAGGGTCATCCATCCCTTGCCCCAAAATCTGTCTTTTCATCCTGAAAACTGCCCTTTCTTAACTCCTTCCTGAAGTCTGTCCCACTAAGGCCTGGTCCTTGGCTGACTGTGCTCTTAGCCAGCAAGCCTGTCTCCAGAGATTGTCAGCAGCCTTCCCAGAAGCAGCACAAAAAGAGCCAGAGTTGGACACTAAACTCCTGTTTAGCCAGCACAACTTCCTCACTTGCATTGTGTTTCTAGGCCCCATAGTGTGAAGAGAAACTTGGGGGTAACTTTTTCTCTGTGGAAGGATGGCTAAGATGCCCTTTTCTCAGCCATTAGAAGTTCATTCTGAAGCAAGGCATGCTTCTCCCACCTCTGTAGGTTTTCTGATACTAAGCCAAGGTGTCATTTTTTCAGGCAGACCTGAATTGTCACTTGTTCTCTCTAGGTCTCATGCTAAGCTGGGAGTCTGGTTACTCTGTCAGGTTTGAGAGACACTGTTCTCAAAGGAATTGTTTGATCTGAGTGTCAGTGATAGCATCATGCCTTTTGGGTGTCCAAACCACATCATTCACAGCTCAAGCTGAGAGCTGCTCTAGTGAGAACAGCTGTTTGCCATTGCTTGTCGCCTCGGATAAAGCTGCAGAGAGGAGGAAGGAAAAAACCTCAAAAACTACTTACAAGAGCACACAAAGGAGGTTCCTGCAGTTAGATGGTTCAGACTGGAATTTGATTGGGAATTTAGGGGATTGGTGCTGTTAATCCTGAAAAGTGTGTGGTGGGCTCACAAGTTGCCCTCAAGGAGGCTTGAGGCTTGCGTGTGTGGCAATGATTCCATGATTGTACCATCTCCAGACCTTGATTCAGCACTTAGTCAGAAAGGAAGGGTTCTGCTTGCTGTACCTTTGAGTCACCTTTGTTGGGTAGACCTTGTCACCTTGCTGCAAGATGTTATTTTTGTTGTGGTCATAACTGAAAGCTGCTGTTGACATGTCCTCTGTTAGGAAATCACCTTCAGCTGTCACTGATGCAGTCCCCTGAAATAGCAAGTCATTGCTTGGACACCCCACCCCACCAGTGATTCCTGGAACTGGGTAGAGAGACCAGTTGGAACAGATGCCTGCAGTGATGGCAAAGCTTTGGAGCTTTCTCCTCACCTGCTGCACCCCTGTTCCTGTGACTTCTTTATTCCCATTTGAACCACCATGAATAAGGGAATAAGGTAGTGTTTTCTGTGTGAGAAGTGTGCTTGCTGCCCCAGTTGTGCAGAATTCAGCACAAGTTCACAACCTTGCTGGCCATGGACTGTGCTTTTGCACAGCAAAACCAACCAGGCAGTCTTGGCAGCTTAAAACTATCCTGGGACACTCAGCTAACATTGAACCGTGGAGAAGGGAGGGGAGGGAGGAGTTCCACCATTCATCTTCACCCAGAGCTGATAGGCAGGAGCACCAGAAGTGCAGTAGTTTGTCTTGGGACAAGGAAAAATTAGCTATTAATTGAATCCAGCCTGGGACGGATACTGAGAGTAATTCAGTGCTCTCCTTGTGGCCTAAACCCCTGCTATTACTGGGGAAGTTTTTCTGATTGCATTGCAGATTGGATAGTGCTGATGTTACCCTGTGTGAATCTCCCATAGTAATTTCTGTACATGTTGCTCAAGAGCAGATGATTTATTTGCAGTTAGTGCTTTCTCAAAGCTGTGCTGGACTGTCTGGGAAGCTTGCTCTGTTCAGTGCTTGACTGAACCAGCTCACGGGACACCACACAGTAAATTGACATTACGGAGTGTTTGCTGCACATTGTCTGTTCTGCTCCGGGTGTGAAAATATGTTCAAACAATATTCTGTCCTAAAAGTAACATGACTTTGTTCTGTTTCACAGTAGATTATTCAGAGCAGCCAAAGCTCTTGAAGCTGATGCAGACCTGCCTTGAGGAGCACCACAGCTATTGCATCAATGGGCTCTGCGCCTTCCACAGTGAGCTGAGGAAGCCCATATGCAAGTAAGGAATGCTGCCTGTTCTACCCTTCTTCAAAAATGGCACTGGCATTGATTATTCATGTGCTGCATGTGCAGCTTCACAGTGTCAGTCAGATATTTGCAGGATTAAACTTTGTCACAAACCTGAGTGCTGTGGTGTTTCAGGACTGCAAACAAGGCTGCAGTACTGTGCTAGTGGAAAACTGAGGAAGGGAGAGGGGGAATTCACAGCTTTGTAGGTCACTCAAATCACAGCTGGTACTGGAATTAGTAGTAGAGGAATCAATAGATGTTCACAGTGAGTATTAAGAAGGGAACAGCACCTTCCAACATATCAGCTCTGCCTTATTCCACAACTCCATACCATCCAGAACCATGGTGTCCTTATAGTTCTCTAGGATGCTTAGTGCACAGCCTTGGCCTCTGGAGACATAACAGCTGCTGAGGATCTGCAGAGCACAGTGCTCTTGTGCACACCCTGCACAACCAGGGGATGTTTAGACTGTGTTGCTGCTGTGACTGCGGTACTCAAGTGAGCTTTAACCTAGATAAACTGGGACAACTGGTAGTCTTGGTGGAGGGAAGAGGTTCTGAGTGAGCAGCAGGTTCAGCCCCTCCTTGTTTAGACTTCTTGTGATCTGTTTAAAACTGATGGAAACTAATGTGTATTTGAAATAGAAAATGAAACGAGCTCTGAATGATTTTTGCGTGATGTGTATTTATTTTGTAGGTGCCTTGCAGGTTACAATGGAGAGAGGTGTGAACATTTAACACTAAATTCATATGCACATAATTCTTATGAGCGCTACATTGCTGTGGGGATTGGGATTGGAATACTGACCAGTGGAATACTCGCCATCATCTACTGCTATGTAAGAAAGAGGTATGGGAAATCTGGAGTCTTCTGATTACATTGATCTGAATTTCAGTGGGCAGAGTTTTAGGGGCACTGGGATTGTGTCTTCACTTGCTACTAATCTGTGGTGTGATTTTCAAGGAACTAACTCTCTATACTTCTGATTTCTGATCTACCAGTGGTGCAGTTGTCTGAACCGTGGGGCTCCTCTGGGCTACTCAAGTGAGTTAGGGGACTAGATTTTGGTTCTGTGCAGGCTGCTGCAGTTTCAGGTTTGGCTGATGCAAATCACATGCTGGTGTCTGCTTCAGATGCAGGAAACTGCAATCCCCCTACAAGGTGTGTGTGGGTGAGACGGCGCTGTGAAGCCCTGTGCTGGAACTCTCACCGGTTTGCCTGCTGAGGAGGAAGGCCCCCGCGCCATGGGCCAGGTGCCCCGGCCTTGCTGAGGAGATGAGCCCGAGGGAACGGCGGAGGAGCGTGCCAAGGGAGCTCCTGCAGCACTAACAGGCTCTGGGTGTGGTTGAAGAAAGACTTCCTCTCTTGGGTGAGGGTGGATGGTCCCCAGGCCCAAGCAGCTGAGGACACTGCAGGCATCTCAGCACTGTCCTGTGCCTAGTGTTTGCTCTGGGGGAAGGACTGGTTGGTTTTAGCTGTTTTCAGTCATTTCAAGCACTCGTACAGTGTTCTGCTTTGGTCTTTTGTGTGTTGTTTGGTTTTGTTTTCTTTTTTTTTCTCCTCTGGAGGATAAGCACCACCTCCCTCATAGTGGAGCTGTATTCTGGACATCATGTGCTGACCACTAACCATTTGGGTTCTGATTTTGTTGTCTGCTGGCTGTGTGTGGATAAACAGTCCTCTCCCAACCCAATGGTTACCCTTGGTGGGCTGGGCCACGTATGGGCTTCTGGTGCCATAAAGGACAACAAATGTTTTGGACTGAGGAAAGTGTCTGGTTCTCAAAACCATCCTTAAATTAAAATATAGAGACTAGGCAATTCTCCTGGAAAATCAGACCATGACACCTCTGGGCATGGCATGTTCTTATTGTTTTCATAAGCAAAGCAACAGGACGCCTTTCTCAAAATGGATTGTGGAGTGTGATTGTGACAAAGAACTGTCTGCTTCCCAAACATCCTACAGCAGGTCCTCAGTTCCATGGAATTTCAGGCAGAACATTGCCTTGCTGCACCCTGATTCCTGCACAAGACTTGAATTGCTAGAGAAGCTGGAATTTTGATATGAAACTTCACTACAGTTTTTCCCAGGAAACAGACTTTCTCTATTCCTTTTGCACATTATAGGGACAATGTAACCACTCAAATAAGAAATTATTTTAGGGATTCAGTTCCACCCTGGACTAACAGATTGCATATTGGATGCTTGGTTCCATTCATCTTATCTACAAAGAATTGGTAAGGTACAAAGATTTGGTTCAAGGAAAAGGGAAGAAAATTGGTTCTGAAGATGATGGCACTAACAGACAGCTGGAGCGTTTGCCATGCTGATGTGGCTAGAGATGGCTTTCAGACATTTTCATTTCAGCTGTTGCACATTATAGACTCATCTGCTGTGCTCAGCCATCTACCAGAGAAAGGCAATTGGTACTTTGAAGTCTTGTGGAGTCATATTGGCTCCAAAATTCAGGTGCCCTGCTGAAAGCTCAGTTTTTTGGTTATGTGAGTTAATTTTGACAAGAGGGATGCATGTTTTTGATTGAAAAAAACTGTGTATTTGTGAGACTACAGTGACAATGCTGAAATGTGTATGAAAGGTGGGGTTTGAAAGGGTAAAGGTGCGTGTGGCATGTCAACGGTCTGAAGTTCAGGGGCTTCTCATGTGGGCATCCTCATCAGTAGCTGAGCCATCTTGGCTCTCTGGTACCAGTAAATAAAACAGCACATCACACACTGCTTGGAATCCCGTGTAACAGAGGGAGCAAGCAGCATATGCACACAAAAAGGATTGCTGGTGAGAAGTGGATGGGCATCACTCCTCTGCACATTGACACCATTGTATTCATCCCTCAGCCTTTTTGTCTTCTTCATCTCCAGTCAAATCTTCAAATCTTTGCACTGCTTGCTTTTTTCCATTCTTCTGACCTTTTCTTAGGTTCCACTGCTGGGTAACTTGTGCTCGTGACTATCTTCAAGTCAGCTTTTGGTAGTGCCCTATCATTTTGTGTCACACATATGTGGTGAGAGGACAATTAGGTATAAATTACAGTCTGCACATCCTCACAAATGCAAAACACCCTTCACCCATCTCACATGGAAATGGAAGATGTGCATGTCGTTAGGAAAACACAGGTGAGAGATCCTGCTTGTTCGTCTCAGGAGAAAATGGTGGAGCTGAATATCCAAAGGATGAAAAGCCTCAGGGTTTTTGTCACATGAGTGAATCTGCCTCTCGCCAGTGAATTGTCTCTCGTGCTCACACTGCTGGTGTTGGATTCACTTCCCAAGGACCAGCCCTTCTCCATTGCAGAGGCTGTCTTGGAGCAGACACGCACCCTACACAACTGCCTCAGGGGGTCTGTGCACTTGGCACACAAGTTCTGAGGGCATGAGTTGGAACATCTGGACTTCACCTTGGCCAAAGAGAACTGTTGGAGAGAAACATTTTGATTGCACGTTCTCTTACTGATGTTTGTTACACCCCTTGTGTACCAGAGGCCAAGCAGGTGTCCTGCAGGATGTGCAAGTGTCTTTTCACTGGTTTTACTCATTGCAGTGAGCCATTTGGTACCTACAGCAACATACTCTGATTTTTTTCAAGTTTGGTTACTCATAAGTGAAAAGGAAGGTCTACTTAAGGGCCACAATTCAGTAGGAGACTACATAGTGAAATGTTTTTCTAGTTGTATTTCAGGCCCAAGGAGGCTTTGGAAATGAGACTTTGCTGGTATTTTTTTGCCAGTGGAAGTGCAAGGTGAAGCACCAGGTAAGTCTGTGCTATGCAAAATGGGACTTGGTGTCAGGACAACATGAGAATAAAATAGAAAGATGACGATGGGAAGAAGGCAAGGCAGGAAGGAAAAAAAGGTGCTTGTTTTATTTTAGTTCTCTTTTTCCAAGTGGAGTCATGGCTTCCAGCACAGTGTTCCTCACCCCCTGGGTGCTGTGTGCCCACCCTGCAGAAGCACAGCCTCAGAGCAGGCCCCAGCTGTGTGTGAGGCATGGCTGCCTGACTGACTCACGGTGCACTTGGGCTGAGGGAATCTGCTTGGCCTCACATTGCTGCAGGGAGTCAGCCCTGCTGAGCCCTTCCTTGATAAGTGACAGATGCTGCCAGCCTGGAATGGTGTGCTGCTGCTTACGGTGCTGAATTTCCTGCAGAACTGGCCTGTCAGAGGATCAGGATCATCTTTCCTAGCTCATTTATCAGGCTCACTACTCTTTGTGTAGTGGCATAATTAAGAGAGTCTTAAGCTTCTTCCCTTTCCAGCTGCACGTGCCAAAAACTGTCATTTCAAGAGGAACCTCTGCTTTATGTGACTTTTAGGTAGGGCTGCTTCAGCTATGGGAGACAGCAGCTTAGCAGGGGCAAGCCAGAGACATCAAAGACCAGGATATTCCTTTCTCAAGGACAGAGCACTTGCCCTGTGAATGATCCAGGCTGGTGGAACCACACTGGCTTTTGCTGCAGCACATCTCTCACACTGGGTTGCCCTTAAGCTATCCAGCCCTGAACCTGCTCCACTGGCACCTGCAGCCACTGTGCAGGTGTGCTGGGCTGCCACTGGAACATCTTCCCTGCATTCAGCTCCCATTTTCTGCTCAGCTGTGTGGGTGGCCTACAAGTTTCCCTGATCCCAGCAAGGTCTGTTGCAAACACTGAGATGTAAGCCTGGGGACAAGATGGCTTTAAAGACATTTGGTTTTGGAGGGAAGTGTAAGGAGTTGAATTGATGCTCTGAGTGCACAGTGTCCCTGTCCCTCCTGCTGGCTGGGGCACACTGGTGGCTGGCACACAGGTAAGAGGCAGTTTTTCCTTGGAGGTTTTCTGTTATTCTTAGTAGCCCACAGTATATTTGGAAAATGACACACCAGGGTTTGTTCTCCATCCCACTTACAGTAAAAGTACAAATCTCATTGGTGCTGCTGCAGCAGTGCAACCCTGCCTTGTGTTTGTGTACTAAGAACCAGCTGTGAAACTAATAGCTTCTAAGTGACTCTCAACTTCATGCAAAAAAACCCCAAAACAAGACTGAACCCCCCTCCCCAAAGAACCCACTCCAACTCTCCCCTCCACCTCCAACAAAACCCCAAAACCAAAATCAAACCCAAAAAATCATATTCCTCTTGGCAGAAGAGCTTTGTAATTCTTTGTACCTGTTATATGTTTTGTTTTATTTCTGGTCCATGAAATACACTGTAGCATCCCACAAGGAGAAGGCTAATTTGGTAATGCAATTGATTTCATAATTAAGTTCAGAATAACTCCTGTTGCCCCTGAAGGTTGCAGTTCTTAATGGATTGCCTTTAGACCATCCCTAGGAAGCAAGGCTTTGAGAATGATGTTCATTATTCTTGTGTGAGTTCTTTTAAGAAATGGTGCTTGGGTAGATCAGTAACACAGTAAGTGTTAAGAGATAGGAAAGATGGGTCAGATTTGGTAACATGCAAGTTTGAGGGCAAACAGCTAGAATTTCTTTCTGAATAATCATTTCAGTTCTCTCTTGTGTGATATGAGTGCAGATTTACTATTTTTGTTTTAACTTTTAGAGCTATCCTGAAAAGTATCATGGCAAAGTGTAAGTGTTAGAGAGCAGACAATGTGCACGATAAATAATCTGAAGGATTCTGATTCAGTCAGAGCTGGATTCAGTCAGCTCCAGCCTTGTCAGAGGCAGGGTCTTCATAGCCCTGCTGATTTGAGTGAATGCTGGCACGGAACCCAGAGCTGGCTGCTCCCTGGTGTGTGTGTCACAGAGCTCTGGTGTGGCTGCTCTTACCTGTCCTGAGCCTTGCTTGGAGAAGGGAAATGCCTGTAGAGGTCCCTATTGTACTGCAAATCCAGGAAACCGCTTGGGACTCCTCCTTTATGACCCAGTTGAGGAACAAAGGCAAAAAAAGTGCAGGTACTCATTAAAATCTCAGTGTAAGTAGTCATTAATTATCATGGCAGCAATAAAATCTTGTACTATGACTAGACTTGGGGCTGCTCCTACTCTCGCTGAACTGAGTGGAAGGGAGAGCAGGTTCTGTGAGCAGCAGAGGTGGCTGAGCTGGAGGAGGTGTGTTTGAGAGGGGACTGTTCACTGGGCTGCTCTGCGAGCTCTGCTACTCCGGGCCCTTTGGCTCTTGGCTCCCTCCCTCTCTGTGGCTGCCAGGGTTGGGAGCTGGGACACAGGCTGGGTTTGGTTGAGAGCAGGGTTTGTCTTGGTATGAAGCCCATGGCCTGTGGGCAAGCAAACCTCTAAATGAGAGGTTGCTTGAGTCAAATTAAAATTCTAATTTCATTTTTCATAAGTATAAACATAAAAATAGCCCATGAGACACAGTTTCAACAGACAAATTAGGGTTAAAACTGCTCTAAATGCTTATTCTCTGGAGCAGTTTGGGATGAGCTGAACTTGGTAGTTGAGGTATGTCTTGCATAGCCATTCTGGGGGAATTTTCCATCTGATGGTTTGGGGGTTTTGCCCCATTGTGGAATTAGGGCCATCTGTGAATGGTCACCTGCCTTAGCTCTGGGCTCAGTTTTCTAGTTCATAAAAAGGTTAAAGGTGTCCAAAGGCGAGGTTTTGATTCCATGTTTAAGGCCAAATCACTTAAATGCTAATTTTTAATCAAAACTTCTTGTTGAATTTATCTGGTTGGTATTGGCAAGGAAGCTTCCTTGTATAGATTCCCCAGTGCCTTTTTTGCCTTTCTGTGAAGGTGTTTTGTTCCTTAATAAGCAGAAACACAGTTTACTGCATTTTCAATACCTGATATTCAAACTCCAGCTGTGTTTCCTGGCTAGGACTGAGCAAAATTTGGCATGGCAGCATTGCCCCTGTTATGCTCTTTGCATAAATCTGTTATGCTCTTTGCCCTTTTTATAATTGTTATTCAGGTTTTCTTGGGGGGCACAGGGAATGCAAGAACCTTCCTTTTTCCTCCTTCTCCAAGGCTTTTGTGCAGAGAGGCCTCTCCACAGCTCCCTCTGGCAAACAGCACAGCCAGGCTTGAGACACCAGAGGACAGGGCTGAGCTTTGCAGGAATGTCTGAGTAACTCGGGCAAAGCTAATTTGTTTGACATCATTTCAGTACGTAAGGCTGTCTGTTTGTGTCCCATTGTTATGGCAAATCCCGCGATGGATGGAATTTTATTGACTCGTGCTGGCTGCTCGGCAGAGCCCGGCAGCGGGTTTGGCCGGAAGCACTGTTCCAGGAGCTGCCTTAATAGGTGCCAACACTGAATTCAGAGGCTGTGTGGCAATGTAGGGGGATAGAATATAAGAAAATAAAGATAGGGTAGAAAGTAATT